TAATGCACTAATAAAAAGATGGAAAAAATCATATGCAAAGATTTACCTAGAGAATCGATAAACTGTAAGAATGCATCCCTAAAGTACATAGTTTTTTTTCCCATTAAAAAGGTTAATACAGATCTAAAATGAAATCACCTCCATAATATAGGGAGTAAAAAAATTAAGATAGCATTTATGATTTCAACTATATACAATTAAGAAGTATTCAACATAAATGTTTAAATCATATTTTATAAATATTAAAATTATTTATATATTAAACAAATATAAATTACTTATTATATGCTGTTTATATTTCATGTCTAGAGGATAAGATAATGATGTCCACTAAAAATGTTTCAGTAATTTTCTTTGTGTTTTTTTCTTTTTTTAATTTGCAGTACTCAGGACTGAACCCAGGGCTTCACATGCACTAGGCAAGCACTCTACAGGTCCACCTCCAGCTCTCCTACTTTTTTAGATTTTATTTTGAGACAGGTTCTAGATAAAGTTTCTTAAGTCAGCCTGGAATTTGCAATCCTCCTGCCTCAGCCTCCCAAGTAGCTGGGATTACACAGTAATTATCTCTGAATGCTGTTCATTTGTACTTTCTTTATGTTTTCCTGCATTGCTTGAATTTTCTACAAAATCATGTATGACCTCTTTACAATACAGAGTTAAAAACACAGTTATATTACATATTGAGGATGCAGGGTGAATAAGGAAGGTTAGCAATGAAAAAAAAATCTACCCACCTGACGATATTTCAGGTGTTTTGGAAAGTAGGGAAAAGGAGACGAAAGGAGAGGGAGAGAAAAGGCTGAAAGGATAGGAACAATTTGCAACCTGTTAAAACCAAGGAAATGCTCACCACTTTTTGCTACATCAAAACAAGGCAGAGAGGAAGATACTCGTAATTCTCCCAACCCCCAAACAAAACCAATTGCACAGACTATTCTTAAACATTCATTTTCCTGATAACATCTCTGCCCAACCTCAGAGTCTCAAGTCCATTCTAAAGCACTATGAACAGCATACTAAATGGAGAAAAACTAGCATTTCCTCTAAAATCAGAAACAAGACAAGGCTGTCCACTCTCACCATTCCTGTTCAATACAGTCCTCGAAACACTTGCCAGAGTGATCAGGCAAGAAAAGGAAATCAAAGGGATACAAATAGGAAAAGAAGAAGTCAAACTATCTCTGTTTGCCAATGATCTTATGCTACATCCAGAAGACCCAAAAAACTCCACCAGAAGACTTCTGGGTAAGTTTAGCAAAGTAACAGGATACAAGATCAACACCCATAAATCAATATCTTTCTTACACTCCAACAGTGATTCAGCTGAGGAAGAAATCAGAAATATCATACCACTCACTCACAATGACCTATTTAAAAAAAAAAAAAAAAAAACTTTGGAAATTAATCTAACCAAGAAGGTAAAAAGAGCTCTATAATGAAAGTTGTATATTTGTTGATAGATTGTATATCTACACTGAAGAAACTGAACAAGACCTTAGAAGATGGAAAGATAATCCATGTTCTTGGATAGGTAGAATTAATATTGTCAAATTTTTAAAAATTCTTATTCATTTTATTTTTTACACAAATGAAGCACAACTTTTTCATTTCTCTGGTTGTATATAATGTAGAGTCACATCATTTATGCAATCATACCAGTACATAGGGTAATAATGTCTGTCTCATTCCAACATCTTCTCCCTCACGCCCCCACCCCTCTCCCTTCTGCTCAATCCAAAGTTCCTCCATTCTTCCCTTGCTCCCACCCCATTATCGATCAGCATCCACTTATCAGAGAAAATATTTGACCTTTGGTTTTTGAGGATTGGCTTACTTCCTTAGCATGATATTCTCCAACTCCGTCCATTTACCTATAAATGCCACAATTTCATTCTTTATGGCTGAGTACTATTTCATTGTGTATACGTACCACATTTTATTTAACCATTCATCTGTTGAAGGGCATCTAGGTTGGTTCCATAGTTTAGCTATTGTGAATTGTGCTGCTATAAACATTGATGTGGCCGCATCACTGTAGCACGTTGATTTTATGTCCTTTGGGTATAGACTAAGGAGTGGGATAGCTGGTTCAAATGGTGGTTCCATTCCAAGTTTTCTAAGGAATCTCCATACTGCTTTCCAAAGTGGTTGCACCATTTTGCAAACCCACCAGCAATGAATCAGTGTACCTTTTCTCCACATCCTCACTAGCACTTCATGTTGCTTGAATTCTTGATAACTGCCATTCTGAATAGAATAAGATGGAATCTTAGTTTTGATTTGCATTTCTCTAACTGCTAGAAATGTTGAATACTTTTTTTCATATATTTGTTGATCGATTGTATATCTACACTGAAGAAACTGAACAAGACCTTAGAAGATGGAAAGATAAGCCATGTTCTTGGATAGGTAGAATTAATATTGTCAAAATGACTATACTACCAAAAGCAACATACAGCTTCAGTGCAATCCCCACAAAAATAACAATGACATTCTTCACAGAATTAGAAAAAACAATTCCTAAAATTCATTTGGAAAAATAAGAGAGAGAATAGCCAAAGCAATACTGAGCAAGAAAAGCAAAGCAGGCCTATCTCTCACCATGCACAAAACTTAACTCAAAATGGATCAAGGACCTAGGAATTAGACCACAGACTCTGTGTCTAATAGAAGAAAAAGTAGGCCCTAATCTCCATCATGTGGGATTAGGCCCCAACTTCCTTAATAAGACTCCCATAGCACAAGAATTAAAACCAAGAATCAATAAATGGGATGAAATCAAACTAAAAAGTTTCTTCTCAGCAAAAGAAACAATCTGTGAGGTGAACATAGAGCCCACATCTTGGGAGCAAATTTTATCTCTCACACATCAGATAGAGCACTAATCTCTAGGATATTTAAAGAACTCAAAAAGCTAAGCACCAAAAAAAAAAAAAAAAAAAAAAGCCCACAAATAACCCAATCAACAAATGGGCCATGGACCTGAACAGACACTTCTCAGAAGAGGATATACAATCAATCAACAAATATATGAAAAAATCATCTTATCATCTCTAGCAATCAGAGAAATGCAAATCAAAACTACTCTAAGATACGCCAGTCAGAATGGCAACTATTATGAAGACAAACAACAATAAGTGTTGGAGAGGATGTGGGGGAAAAGGTATACTAATACATTGCTGGTGGGACTGCAAATTGGTACAGCCAATATGGAAAGCAGTATGGAGATTCCTTGGAAATCTGGGAATGAAACCACCATTTGACCCAGCTATCCCTCTCCTAGGACTATACCCAAAGGACTTAAAAACAGCATACTTCAGGGACACAGCCATATCAACGTTTATAGCAGCATAATTCACAATAGCTAAACTGTGGAGCCAACCTGTGGAGCCAACCTAGTGCCCTTCAGTGGATGAATGGATTAAAAATGTGGCATATCTACACAATGGAATTCTACTCAGCATTAAAAGAGAATAAAATCATGGCATTTACAGGTAAATGGATGGCATTGGAGAAGATGATGCTAAGTGAAGTTAGACAATCCCAAAAAAACAAATGCCAAATGTTTTCTCTGATATAAGGAGGCTGACTCATAGTGGGGTAGGGAGGGAGAGCATGGGAGGATTAGATGAATTCTAGATAGGGCAGAGGGGTGAGAGGGAAAGGGAGGGGGCAGGGGATTAGCAAGGGCGGTGATGAACATCATTGTCCAAAGTACATGTATGAAGACTCGAATTGGGTATCAACATACATTATATATAAACAGAGATATGAAAAATTGTGGTATATATGTATAAAAAGTTGATGACAACTCTATTTTCCAACTTGCCCCACCTTTTGAAAATGAAATCCTATTGTTTCAATCTTCCAAATATATCTCGAAACTGACCCGTCTCACCATTTCCACTATCATCTTCTGAGCCACCATCATTCTCTTACCTATAGATGTGTCCATCTACAACTAAAAAAAAATTTAAAACCAACCAAACAAAAATTCATCATGTACTGAGAATTTCCTAAAATATCTGCCTGCTTCTCCCTATACCTCTACAATTTAGTACTTAAGCTGCAAAAAATGATCCTTTTAAAACAAGAATAATCCTTCTAAAACTAAGTAGTCTCTATTCTGTTCAACCTTGCACTTTCATCCATCTCTGTTAGAATAAAAACCAAATGCCTTCCAACAATACAAGGCTCTTCATAATCTGGCCTCCTGTGACCTTTCTGGCCTCTTCAGTTATTCTTACCCTTGTTCACTCCTGTAGGGTCCTTAGGGTTCCTTGAAAACACCAGATGACCATACCAGCCCCAGTGAGGACCTGGACTCTCCATCTTTTCTTTGGAATATTATCCCAAATATCCAGCTAACTCCCTTATTTCCTTTAAGTCTTTATTCAAAGATCACCTCCCAGTGAGACCTACAACCATCCTATTTAATATTGCAACCAGCCCCTTCCACAACTATCCTATTTAAAATTTTAACCAGCCCCTTTCACACCCAGGCAGGTGGGGGAGAGAGTAACTTATCCTTAATTGAACTTACCTCACCTAAGCAGAGACTGTGGAAGAAAGTATTAAAATATCATTTCATTACAAAATGCCGTAAGAGATTAGCTAGATCTCAGTTATGTTTAGGGATTTAAAAGAGAATTCTTCATGAAAGGAATGAAGAAAAATGGTTAGTCACCAAAAAGGATTAGAGACCTTATTAGAGTCACAGATATACAGCAGTGACACATTCACAAGAGACGCAAAAGGAAGGAAAAAAAAAACCCACACAACTTAAAGCCCAGCAAAGCAATTCCTTGTCCACAAATGACAAAAGAAAAATAGCAAGGAAATATACCCCAGCTCTAGAAAATGCAAAAAGTTAATTAGTAATTTTTATTCCACATGCATGTAACGTCTGTCTCTAAGAAAAGGATTGACATAATACTTGATGCTTAGTTTTAAAAACAAACAGAGCTGGGGTTGTGGCTCAGTGGTTGAGTGCTTACCTCAAATATGTGACGTCCTGGGTTCAATCCTCAGCACCACGTTAAAAAAAATAAATAAAAATATATTGTGTCCATCTATAACTAAAAAAAATTTTAAAACAAACAAAAAAAATCATCATCATTCTGAAATCTAATTAGCCAGCAGCTAACCATCTGAACTCGTAGTTTTGGTTTTCAAAAAGGACACGTAAAACTTTGATCTGCTTAACAAAACACAAAGTAACAAATAGAAAACCCTGCTAATTTATTCAAACATGCTTTGAGCATCTATTATGTATCAGACCTGTGTCTGGAGCTAATATGGCTCCACAGCATTGTAACTACAGTTAAAATGAGATACAAATATCAAACACGTGAGCATTTTTTTCCTCTTTAAAATATTTATCAACTATATTGACAATGGCTGCATGTGCTGGAACTGGAACTTTCCAAGTATAAACCATATCATTCATTCAACAAATGTAACAAGTATCTATTATGTACATGGCACTGTACAGTACTAGGTGCTAAGGTATTATAAATATCAACAATGGATTACATTTACTGAGTGCTTCCCATGTGCCCTATATGTGTGTGTGTGTGTGTGTGTGTGTGTATTATCTTATGCATCAACCCAGCAGTTTGCATCTCTGTTTTAGAGTTGACATAAACTTAAGGCTTCCAAAGTTTAGGACACAAAAGTAGCAAATGGTAGAACTGGGATTTGCTCTTAGACACTGTAATCTCCAGAACCCATATTCTTAACTACTATGCTAAATTGTTTCAAGTACCTTCAAGTTTAAAGATAAAAGATAATTAGAAATAAATTTAATACAACTGACCAGCCCTACTTCTTTATCAATTAGAAGTCTAATTCACAAATAAAAATGGAAAATTACTCACAAGAGTACACACATTTTATAGTACAGAATTGCCCCATAGGAAATTGAATTTTAAATAAATAAATGGTAGTTGCAAATAATCTTTGTAATCATAGTTTTACAAGAAAGATAAAATGAATGAAATTAATAATGAAAGCAACTAATGACTAATTTTCAACTTCTTTGTTGATCTAGGGTTTGGGGAATGCAGCTCAGTGATAGGGCACTCGCCTAGTATGTGTGAGGGTCTGGGTTTGATCCCCAGCACTGCAAAAAACAAAAATTTAAAAGCTGCTCTGTAGTAACTTTAACTTAATTACATGAGTAACAAGACTTGTAATTTAGTTTCGACTCATTTCTTCCTGATATATCAGAACAAAATCAAATGACTAATATAGTAGAAAAGGAAATATCATCCTAAGTACTTACCTAGAAACTGTTTTTTGTCTTTTCTTGCTGTTGTTTTACAAATTCTAAACACTTTATGTAGAAAAGGTTTCCTTCTGACCCTAAGAAAAACTTTTTGCACATTACTAGGTGCACTAAGCTTCAAAAGACAGATTGACAGCCGGCCAGGCCTCCAAAATTCTTTGTTTAAAAGGTGGCACATAGGTCCTCTTGAGCATCAAAGTCAGCCAAGTTTCTGGGAGGCACTGACCCAATAAAGCCATAATGTTTCTTAATCTTTCAAGGCTAGAGCAGACAAAAGAGTCAACGCTAAAAGAAGTCAAAGGAAGATTAGACTTACACATGACAAGCCTTATCATACTAAAATCTTTATCATTCAATTAGGTAAATTCTCAGCAATTAGAATAAACTCAAACTGCTAAAAACCTTCTTTGGGGAAAAAACTCCAGAAATGTCTGAGAGATTCCTTACCATGTAAAACAGGAAGCCAATGATAGAAAATTGTATTTTAACTTTGAAGACACCTGGAAGTTTCTTCTTAAAACGACAGTAGGAATAAGTAGGTGAATATCAAGTTATTATTCAGTACAAAAAGTATTCTCATGAACTTTGCGGGGAATTTATAAGACAAATTTTGGGAGGAAAAATTTTGAATGCAAGGTAAAAAGCTTGGTATTAATGATCAAAAGCAAGAAAAAAATTTAAAGCAATATTTATGATCTCTATTTATATCCTCAATGATTTTAAAAGATCTCTTGGAAATTTGAAACATAAACTTTTTTTTGTAAATAAAAAAACAGGTTTACTTTTAATTATATATCTTCTAAATAAAAAATAAAGTTTTTTCAATGAAAATGAAGGCTACTATTTAACAACCAAAGAAGATTCATAATTCAGAGATGTTTAAAATATTATACATACCTTAAAGTACAATTATAGTAATTAAAAGGGCCATTGTTTGTTCTTCTCAAAAGCTATGTAATTTAATTTGCTCCACAGCTTATTTTGCAAGAGAATTTTGAGTATCAAAAATTTTTCCTTAGTGTCTACTCTTACATCTTCAACAACATGGACACAAAATAAAGACAATGAACCGCAACTCCACACTGGCTACCAGAAGATAAGAATATGTAAGATCTAATGGAAATAAGGCAGGGACTGTTGGAGCCCATGAATATTTCAGAAGAATAATTAAAAAGTATGCCAGATGGGTTCACTTGCAGCTGGCTAACAACTAAATTTCTGACCAAAGCCAAATGCTTCCTTACATAATTTATCAAGCCCCTTTCAGTTTCCTTCCACCCTTTTTGTTCTTGTTTTTTCTTTTTAAAGAGCAATACCCTCATTTCTCTTTCAAGTGGGACTAATATAGAAGGAAAGAACACCTGTGTGCCCTGCCTGCTGAGTCTGAAGCATGAAAATCCAGGTGTTATCACTGAAGCAAAAATGGACAAAGGAAGTGCTACAAAAGCCTAACCATTATTATTATTATTATTTTAAACAAAGTAGTCTGGGGTGGGAATGTGGCTCAGTGAGGGAATACATGCATAAGGCCCTGGGTTCAACATTCCCAGCACTGAAAAAACAAAGTAATTTAAAATAAACACTAACAACCAAGGATTAGCAATAGTATAAATAAAAAATTAATTCTGCTTAGAGGTAAAAGCTTATCCTTCCTATTGTATATTGGCTCCTACCTACTCTCCAGTCTCATCTTCCAATATCCTACCTTATATTCCAGACATATAAAAGCAACTTAGTTTGCTCATATTCTCAAGTTTTTACTATGTGCCAGGCACTGTTCTAAGTACAGGTTATTGACAAGCACTTAACCCTTACTATAATCCCAAGAAGACACAGAGCAGTATTATTATTAGGTAAAGAGATTTTAAGTAAGTTGCCCAAGATGTTGAACTATAGAGCTTCCATTCTTAAGCTCTGCCATACTGCGATTCTAAAGATGGTAGATCTGCATTATTTCTTTCAAATATAGATTGCTTCAAAATCCTGCACAGTACTATAGTTTTACCCTACTCTATTTAAAACCACTGCTGAAGTTCAAAAATGACCTGTCTCAAAATGAAAAAAATTAAAAAGGGCTGGGGATGTACCTTATTGGTAAAACACCCTGGGGCTCAATCCCCAGTACCAAAACTCAAACATTTTAGGACGTTCTTTCTTTTAACACCTTTGTTTGTCAATAGGGCTACTTGCTTGTATTTATTAACTATTGCTTTGGAACAAATTAATCCAAAATTTAGCACTCAAAACAAGCATGGTCTGTGGATTTAGTTAAGTAGAAGAGTGTATACTTCACATGTGTGAGGTCCTGTGTTCAATTCTGAGCACCAAACAAAACAAAAAAAGTAACATTCATTATCTAAGTTTCTGGGGGTCAGGTATAGAGGAAACTCTAATTTAGTCTCTCAAGAGGTTGCAATCAGGGCTGGGGTTGTGGCTCAGCGGTAGAGTGCTCGCCTAGCACATTCAAGGACCTGGGTTGGATCCTCAGCACTACATAAAAATAAATAAATACAATAAAGGTATTGTGTCCAACTACAACTAAAAAATTTAAAAAAAAAAAAGAGGCTGCAGTCAGACTTGCAAGGGATGCAGTCATTTCCATTCCTGTCTGTGGCTACAGAATCTCCTTCCAACCTCATTTATGTGGTTCTTGGCAAATTTCTGTTCCCCATCACTTAGGCCTCTTCATAAGAAACCTATATGTCTTAATGACATGACTGCTGGTTTCTGCCAGAGGAAGTGATGAGACAGACACCCCCCCCCCCCATGACAGAAGCCAAAGTTGTTTAAAACCTGATCTCAGAAGTAAGATACCATCATTTCTGCTTTATGCTACTGGTTGCCTAGACTGCTCTGGTACATTGTAAGAGGTATAAGAGGGGACTACACAAAGCAGGAAACATTGGAAGTCATCCTGATAGCTGGTTTAAACCCCTGAGGAAAAATTTTAAAATTCAGTCTCAGCTTGCATTCTGGGCAGTTTCAATATTTATCTTAATTGTGGTATTTTTATACTTCCTTTTTCTGTGGAGTAAACCCAGAGAGTGCTTTACCATTGGGCTACAGCCCTACTCTTTTTTATTTTGTATTCTGAGACAGAGTCTCTCTAAGTTGCAAAGGCTGGCCTCAAACTTGTGATCCTCCTGCCTTAGCCTCCCAAATCATTGGGATTATAAGCATTTGCCACAGCACTTGTTTATACTTCATCTTTAAAACACAGACCTAAATTAATATGCACACATACTCGGTTTCCTTAACCGATGAGGGAGAGAAAAGGAAGGGAGGGAAGGGGAGGAGAGAAGGAAGATAAAGAATGAGTTATATCTATAAATAGAGGTAGGTGTGACATGATGGAGGGAAAAAAAAACTAGAAATTTGGTCTGAACCCAGAAACTTTGCAACTTCTAGAAGAAAATATGAGGTCTACACTCTTATCACATAGGTGCAGGCATCAACTTCCTTAACAAAATCCCCTAAAGCTCAAGAAATAAAACCAAAAATTAATAAGTAGGATGCTATCAAATTAAAAAGCTTCTGCACCGCAAAGGAATGATTAAGAGTAAGACAAGACAGTCTTCAGAATGGGGGGAAAAATCTTTGCCAGCTATTCCTCTGACAGGGGGTTAATATCCAGAATATACAAAAAACTCAAAAAGCTTAACACCAAAAAACCAAATAACTCAAACAACAAAGAATTAAACACTTCTAAAAATAAACACAAATGGCCAACAAATATATGAAAACATGTTCAACATCCCTACCAATGAGGAAAATGCAAATCAAAACTACACTGAGGGCCAGGGTTGTGGCTCGATGGTAGAGCACTCACCTAGCATGTGTGAGGCACTAGGTTCAATTCTCAGCACCACATACAAATTAATTAATTCAAGGTCCATCAACAACTAAAAAAAATTTAAAAGAAAACTACACTTTGTTTCATTGTACTTCATTCAGAATGGCAGTTATCAGGAATACAACTATTAATAAATGCCGGCGAGAATTCAGGGGCAGGGGTGGTAAAAGGTATATTCTTGGTGGGATTGCAAATTAGTACAACCTCTCTGGAAAACAGTATGGATATTTCTCAAAAAAGTAAGAATGGAACCACTATATGACTCTGGTATCCCACTCCTTGGTATTTATCCAAAGAACTAATATTAGCAAATTATAGTGATAACAGCCACATCAACGGTTACAGCAATACAATTCACAATAGCCAAGTTATAGAACAGGTCCAGATGTCTTTCAATAGATGAGTGGATTAAGAAAACATGGTAAATATACACAATGGAGTTTTACTCAGCCATAAAGAAGAATGAAATTATGACATTTGCCAATAAATGGATGAAACTGGAGAATATCATGCCAAATAAAATAAACCAGACTCGAAAAATTAAGAGTTGAATGTTTTTTCATATGTCGAAGATACAGCAAAATAAAGGAAAAAGGGGTAGGGGATCAGATATCACAAAGATATAGAGAAGATCAATGGAGTACAAGATGGGGAGAGAAAGAGGACAGATGGAACATGTAATTAATTTAACAAAATCGTGTTATATACATGTATAAACATACTACAGGGAATACAACCTATAGAAAATACCCATGAGGGCTGGGGTTGTGGCTCAGTGGCAGAGTACTCGCCTAGCATGTGTGAGGCACTGGGTTCAATTCTCAGCACCACATATAAACAAATAAATAAATAAAGGTGTATTAATAACTAGTAAAAATTAAAAAAAAGAAAAAAGAAAATGCCCATGAAAAAAGCAAATAAATAAGGCAGGTGCAGTGGCACATGCCTGTAATCCCAGAGACTTGGGAGGCTGAGGCAGGAGGATCATGAGTTCAAGGCCAGCCTTAGCAACTTACTGAGTCCTAAGCAACTTTAGTAGACCCTGTTTCTCAAAAGAAAAAAATAAAAAGGGCTGTGGATGGGGCTCACACGTGTGTGTATGTGTATGTGTGTGTGTGTGTGTGTGTGTGAGAGAGAGAGAGAAAGAGAGAGAGAGAACGAAAGGAAGAAGGAGATTGTGGGGAGAAAATGGACTCCGAAATGTAAATCAAATTCAAAACATGTACGATGTTGTCAAAATGAACCCAACTACTATGTATAGTTATAATGCTCTAATAAAAAAATGGGGGGGGGGGGAATTGAATCTGAAACCTTGAATTCAAGTTGTAGCTCTTTATCACTTGCTTGTACACATATATTAGCATTTGACTATCAAGACAAAATGTGGAGAATTTTTTTTTGTAATGAAAAATGGTTTTAATCCTCCCTAACATAAAGGAAAATAAAGTCATACCAATACCATCACCATCACAAATTCAAAATTGACCTCACCATGCATCATCTGAAACTTATTTCCTTCCTAGGACTATAAATCCCTATTGCCTAGACCCCAAATCTCAGTCATTTTCAAAGTAAAGTTACCAAACTTTTTTCAGTTTATATTTCTATCATATCTATTATATCCATCACCATTTTTTTAACTCTCTCTCTGCCACTATTCTAATTCTCACACTTCCCCTCTAATTTGTTCTACAAAATAGCTTCCTAAATTGGTTTCCCTACTTAAGTCTCTTCCCAGATGAATTCCATTCAATACCTTTTATCCACAGTGACATTCCTA